CAGTGGAAGACTGCGTCTGCCCTACCCCGTTCCCCATCAATACACTAGAAAGAACAGACAAATAAGCAGAATGCTGTATGCAGAGAATGTGGTTTCATTGTGATGCAGTCAAGCCTCCTGAGCAGGATGAGCTCATTAAAGCTGCAGGGTGCCCTTCCCTATTGGCCTTCGTGCACCCCAGAAGCCAAAGTGCTACTGGGACAAACACTCCCCCGAAAGACCAGTCCTCCAGGTGAGGGTCCCTATCTGCCTTTCCTGCCTTCAGGGTGCTCCTGTTTCCACGTGGAGGACAATAAACATCTTCACCTTTGGGACCTAGACACACACACACACACACACACACACACAATTTGGCCCCCACTCAGCAGCAAATTCCACACATGGTCCTCATTGTATTCTAAACCTAAAGAAAACAAGGCGTCCTGCCCAGCAGCTCATCCATAAAACATTAATCACTGTCCCCCCTCCTTGAGAGGCTCTGACCAGTGAAGGTGTGACCTACAGGGGGGATGGAAAAACCCCGATGGTCAGCACGCGTCCCTGCCACGCCATGGGCGGGGTCCTGGCACCAGTTGCTCCGGTGCTTTTCCAGAGCAGCTCCAAACTTGGGCTGCAGCAACCCTGAGGATCAACCCAGGAACCCTAAGGGGAAGCCACGTACCTGCCAAACCCTTCAAGACAGTATGGTTCTTGGGCCAACTGGCGAGAGACTGTCTCGAGGCACTCAGACCCGTGTATGTGGATCCCCACGAGCTTTGGAGGCAGATAATGAATGGCTCTGGGTGCCTTGAGCCACCTGTCTCCATTTAGCTGAGCCCACCCTCTTCAGCCCCTGTGAGCTTGGGAGATGGTGATTCTGGGGTCAGAGACAAGGTATGGGATTCTAACCTCATCAAAGCTTCGGTGCATCTATCTTGGACCATGGACTGATCCTAGGATGGTTCAAAGAAGAATTCTTTTCTCCCTGTAGAATTCGCAGTGCCCCTCTAAGGGCCGGACGAAGGAAACTTCTGGCTCCTGGAGAAGAGAGTGGGATACCAAAAGGGAGTACCTGTCTTGAAGGATTCCCAATTCCTAGCTACTTGAAGCCTGAGATTGACTGATGCGATGCTTGACATCACATTATTATACGTGTGACTAGAATTCAACCGTGGCCTGGTCTGCACATTCATCATAGGGACCAGGCTAATGTTTCTTCCAATGGGGCTTGAAATGTGTGTGGGGAATTGTGTAACCTGGGCCAGGGTTCTGAGAAGGCGTCCAAATAAGTTGGGGATCATCGAGTCATGGCTTTTTGTTCATGTGAGTTTAATGGAGAGGAAAATGTTCTAGGATTCAGTGGCTGTTAGATTACATTCTGCTTCCTTCTAGATCAGGTGCAGATTGAATTCCTTCCAGGCCAGCTGATCCACCCTGTGTGCTCGTCTCAGGGCTGAGGCATGAGAGAGTCTGATAGAGGACGCATCCTGTGGATTTGTCTCCAGGAAGACCCCGTATGAGGGGTTCACTTTATCCCGTCCCTGCCCCCTCCCTCAAAGAGTCTCACGTGTGCACACTCCAGAACACTCAGCCGTTTAAGGCAGGAGTTGAATCATGGCAGCGTTTAGGAAATTTACTCTCTCCACTGATGCCTGCTGAACAAAACAGGAAAGGGCTCTCGTTGCTCAAGGAAGCTCCAAGATAGTCCCAGTCACTTCCCCACACTTCTCTGTGTGCTGGGCTCGACAGAACAGGAGCATAGCAGGCAGGGCAGCCCTGGAACTGGGGGATGAGAAGGCATCTAGAAAGAACTCCACCTCCACAGCTTCACTAGTAGACAAAGGTTACTGTAAACTTGACTATGGTGGATCGAACCGTAGTATCGTATGATACTTGGTCGGTTGACCTCCCTCTTGACCCATCCTGAATCTGCTCTAGGCTCAAGTATTTCTCATTTGATCCACGACAGAAATTTCTTCTCTGGCTTTTAAAATATTGATGGTGGTCTTTTCTTTCTTACTTTTTGTTTTTATCTTTATAGTATTATTCTTATTTTCTTCGCTTTCATTTTTTCTGTTGGGTTTCCCAGTTTGTGAAGCTCAAAAGGAATGGATGCACAGAGACAGTGACGATGAAATGGTTTACTGGGGATACAGGGGTGGGGTAGGGAATGGGAAGGTGAGGGGACTTGGGGAGCAAACAGTGAATGTGGAAGAGAGGAGGAAGCATTAGGAATTACGTGATGTATATTGAACTCAATTTAAAGGCAATTTTATCATGGAAGTGGATGATATGTGACTACTATATCAAGAAAACTACTTTAAAAAAAAAGAAAAGAAACTGAATCTGACCGATGGTTACCATGAGGAAAGGAGAAAATTGTTGCTTGGGGAGCATTGAGTTTATGTTAATGGTGATGGAATAATTTAGAAAAGGATATCAATAATGGTGGTATAACAAGAAGAGTATGATCCTGTAAAAGGTGGGAGTTATAGATCATGTAGAAGAAGGGAATTATACATGTAGAAGTTGTGGAGTTGGAGAATATTTTGTTGTTTGTGTTTTTTCCACAATTAAAAAAAAATTACATGAATAACAATGAGTGCAAGAAGAAAATGTTCTAGAATTGATGGTGGTAATAATTATACAATTTTTGATGATATTATTGAATTGTATGATATAAGAGGGAGTGTCAATAAAACTTTAAAAAAAAAAAAGAAGTGACAGGCCTCAGTCTCAAAGCTGTTGCTCCAGGCCTGAGTGGGTTTCTGAGCAGTTATCTTATAGGGCATTATTATCCCTCAAAGTGCAGCATTAACCCTCCCTTTCTCATATACATCTACTAGAACAGTGGTTCTCAACCTTCCTAATGCCGCGACCCTTTAAGACAGTTGCTCATGTTGTGGTGGCCCCCCAACCATAAAGTTATTTCCATTGCTACTTCATCACTGTAATTTTGCTACTGTTATGAAGTGGGTGACCCCTGTGAAAGGGTCATTCACACCCCCCCAAAGGGATCGTGACTCACAGGTTGAGACCTGCTGTACTAGAAGAACACAATCTCCATGTGAGTAAGTTCATCCCACAGAAAGAAGTACCCAGGCCCTAGAGAGTACTGTAAGACTGGGGTGGGGCCAATGCCAGGGATGTGTGATGCCAATGTTTCTCAGCAGAATGCTACATCCAGTTGTCCTTGAAATGAGCAAAGGTCCTGAAACGGAAGGCTCCTCAGCGGACTCTTCTCCCCCTTTTCTCCTCTCTCTAACTCTGCAGGCAAGAGAACTCCGGCTGCCAAGCTTAGTACGAGTCACAGTGTTCGGTAGAGAACATTGTCCCCTCTGTGAAGCAAAGAATAAATCCATTCAAACCCCAATCCTTTCACAAACTTGCTATATGCCCTTGGGCCAATCCTTTCATCTTGGAGAACCTCCGTCTCTGCTATAAATGGCAAAGCCATCTTTCCTTACAAGGTTGCTGAGAAGATTTGAGAAGGTGTGTGTAAAGTCCCGGGTAGGCTCCTCATACACTGTAGATGTTAAAGAAATAAGAGTTTCTTCCCTTTTCTTCAGGCTCTGCCTCTTGGCAGGAATCATCTAGAAGTGCTGGGGTTGAGATGGAGTAGGGTAGGGGATGGCACAGATGAATGGGGTTGAGAATAGGTGGCCAGAGTCCAGAGTTGGGACTGAGATTCATTGGAGTGACCCAGCCCTGGCTCCTCCAACCCTGACTGGATCCTTATAGGGTGAGGCAGCCCTTGTATCACCATCAGCCAAGCCCTTCAGAAGAGGAGTAGTGTTGGGGGCTGGGGACAGCAGACTACCCAGACCTCCCATCCCTGCTCTGTCCACGCTGAGCAACACCTGCCAAGGTGGCCTGGTGAGATTTCCAGAGGATTGATGGTTCCCAAAGCTTCCCTGGTTGGTCTTGTTTTAGGAATATAATTGTGTGTGTGTGTGTGTGTGTGTGTGTGTGTGTGTGTGTGCGCGTGTGGAGAGAGAGAGAATGGACCAGGAGTCTCAGCTTGACATAAACATGTCCTGTGACTTTGGATATGACCCATGATGTTGCTGAGTGTTCGCACGCTCCTGTTGGTGATAATGTCCTGCCTGCCGTGGCTCCAATTCTCAGGAGGTCATGAGTGGTCAGGGGCTCTGTGGGCTCAGGCGGGCCAGTCAGGCGTAGGGCTCTTAACTAGCTTTCTGCCACACAGTTCTACCCATTCTGATCGCTGCTCTCGGGTTCTCTCTGCCTAGGCTGGGTCCTTGGGAGTCTGACGAAAGCCAGAGTCGCCACAGAGAAATGGGCATCCTCCCGGGATGTGGCATGTGATGTCATGAGCCAGGGAGCCCCGGAGACACTCAAGGTTAAGATCCAGTGAGTAACTTTTCTCCTCCTCTCTTACCACCCAGCTAAGCATGGTCGCCCCTGGGAAGCCTTGTTGATCCCCTCAAGCCAAAGTGGATTGCCTCCCTCAGGCCACCTAAGCCAGGACATCCTGTGGACTTCTGTACACAACACTCATCTCACTAGACCCTAGTGGGCAAGCCCTTCTCCTCTGCAAGACTGAGCTCCCGGGGTCCATCCTGCAGGCTCCAGTGCCAAGTGTGGGTACCGAGTGGTGCCGGGAAGTATGACTAAAGCAAGGAGGGAGCTCTGGAAGGTCTTTGGAATTCTCTGGAGCTGTTAGACTTCAGTCCTCCTTTTGCCCATTACTTCAGTACTCTGGAATCCAAAATGTCTCCCCATTGCCCCATTTAAATGGATCAGAGCTCCTACCAACCCCACACACCCCTAGAGCATGTCACCACTGGGTCCAAGGAGCATCCCTGATTGGGGTTCTGGGGACAGGACTGTGCCCCCCCCTCAGATGGGAGCTCTGATGCTCAGGACTTGTGGGATGTGACAGGCAATGGCTCCCCTCAGACTGGGCCCCTTGGACTAAGATGAACCAATCTCCTCTCAGCTCCGAGGACCTCCCTGTGGGAGCGGCACGGAGCAAATAAATGACAACAAACCTGGGGGACCTTACAAGTCATTTTCCTTTATTTCCTTATCAGAGAATGAAATTTCAATTCCAGAGAGACATATATGCAGAGCAGACAGATGCAGGATCCTGCCCGCAGCGGGCAGAACCAGGCAGAGAGCGGTTTTCACACCCTGTCCCCTCCTTCTGGCCTTGGTCCTTGCCGAAGCAGAAACCTAGAAGCTGGGAAGGAGTCTCGTCCATTTCACAGTCCAGCGAGTAGCCAGGCATGGTCTTGGCCGCTAGACCAGGCTGCATCCTTATCTAGCTGTAGAACCTTGAGCCTCAGTTTCCTTATCTGTTAAGGGGGCTACTCGCCCTTGCTGTGTAGTGGAGAGGCGTGTGCAGCTGTCATGCTGTGTTGGTGCCTGTTAAGGGCTTCCTGGTCAATTGCGTCTCCTGGCTCTCCTTCCTAGCATGGCTTGAGTCACAGGTGGTCCAACTGCATTGGCCCTGGTGGAAATGAACGGACTGGTGGAGAGAGCTGAACTGATGCATCCAAGCCCCAGAGCAAAATCGGAGCCCTGAACTGTCCTTGGGCCGCACCAGTAGACACTGTCATCAGGTCAAGCCTGATAGCCCCTCCAGGTGGGTCAGGAGGCACAGGCTGGGGCTGGCATCACACAGGGCACCAGTGCAGGCTACGCACTCCCCCAAAGCCTCCAAATCCCCCTTGGAATCACCTGTGACTTTGGGATTCTCTCTCTCTGCTCCCAGTGAGGACATCGGCCTCCGTGGGCCACTCTTCATTGGGGCCATTCCATCCTCAGGCTCGGGGCTGCAGACAGCCACCGGCCTTTCATACCCACACCCCACAGGTGTGATGGAGCCGGGCTTGGTGCTGGCAAGAGGAGAGCCAAGATCATAGTGCACCCCTAGGTGAGCAAGACCAGCTGGAATTTAACTAAGGAAACTAGGTCCTCCTTCTTCACCATCTACATGGCCTCTGCGGTCTGGTGCAGCCACTCCACAGGGGTCACGACCTGGACATCCCAGGATCTAACCATGTATGTGTGTCGCATATGTGTACATATGTGAAGCAGCGGCACTGGTCTAGACTGGCTCTTCTAGAACTCATGGTGTGTATATGTCTAGAGAAACCTAGAGGCAGGTCTCAGAACCACATAGCCCTCCCTGATGGGCCCATTGTAAGGATGGGATCACAGAGGCCTCCTGATAAGGGAGAGCCCAAGGGCATGGATCTAGGAGCAAGCTGAATGGGAAGGCGGAAGATTGTCTGCACCTTGGCCCCCCCAACCTCCTGGCTTAGGTTCTCTGCCATCAAAGCACCCTCAGGATGCATCCTGGGAACAGGAGACCCTTGCCCCAAAGGTTTAAGGCAACTAGGGTAGAGCCCCAGGCCCCTGTGGCAGATGAGTTCATGAACAACTTTGGGATGAGGGGGTACTTTCTGGCATACCTCCCATCACACCCTGAGGGGCCAATTAGCAGGCAGGTCCCTCTCTCTCCCCTCCTCCCTGAACTTGGAAGGAGTGGCTGGCAGCTACATCTGGGTCCCCAGGAAGCCCCGAGGCCAGGAAACAGAGAAAGAGAAAGACAGTGACAGGTACACCCCCAAATGCTTGACCCTGAAGGTCTGGCAAGATTTTTGGGGAGTGACTTTGGCCAGCTTGTCAAAGTGCCTACGATATGGTTCACCCCTCCCCACCCTCCGCCCCACCCGCCCCCACCCCCACAGTGGATGCCCGGGCAGTGCCCCCCTCTATTTGGGCTTCATCTCCACCCGGGAGTTGATGTCATCAGCATCCAGGTCATACTCCTCCACCTGGCCGCTGGTCCACACCTTGACGCGGTCCATGAGGTCACTGCTGCGCGGGGCCAGGATGAAGTCGTAAATCAGTACGGCCAGGCCGGCCCCGATGAACGGCCCCACCCAGAAGATCTGGAAGCAGAGAGGACATCAGGTCTGGCCTGCCCCGGGAAAGCCTTCTTGCTGCCCCCGCTCTCGCCTGGCCACCCTAAGGGGTTCTCCCTGACCTCCTCTTGGCAAGGCCTGGGCGAGAGAGGGGCGACACCGAGCTCCAAAGAGGGGAGACACTGAGCGTTCTGCGGTGGGGTACCGGCGCTTATGGCAATGGGACAGATGGGTAATGTGTTTGGCTGCTCATCAAAAGGTTGGCGGATGAATTCCGTGTGGGGGTTGCTTTGAAAGGGGGCCAGCCAAAGTCAAACCTATGGGGCTAAGTTCAGCTCAGACAGGCGTGAGGTCACTCCCAGTCCAAAGGAAGAAGCGGCAGGTGGCAAAATGGAGGGAGTGGGCTTAGAGGGAGGATCACGGGCCTCCACACACAGGGCATCTGCCCTCCGGGGGGAGGAGGTAGTGGTGCGTGCCAATCTCAGATGCCCCAGAACTAGCCCCAGGCCACAGCTGTGATCAGGTGCATCTCCCTGGTTCTGTGTGGCCCAGCACAGGGACCCTGACTTGATCAACACAATTAATTTGAAAAAAGATTGGCCTGGAGCAAAATAACATCCTCACCAACAGCTAAAATAATGAGCACTGAGTGTTGGCTCCGTGCTCAGCTCGGTTGACCATCCTGGCCCCTCTCCTGGGCCTGCAGCCCCATGAGGAAGGTCCCACCCTACCCCCACCAACCTGCCCAGCAAACAGAGGCCGGGAGCCTCCTGCACTGGAACGTGGCAGAGCCAGGTCTCTCGAGTACCCTCTCGTGCTGCGAGAATGCATGGTCACCGGAACCAGCCTGGGTGTGTGGCCTGACCCCACCTGCTTCCCCGGCCTCCGTCACCGCGCGCCCGGCTGCCTCCCAAGGGCCCCAGTGGGGAAGGGTGGCTGCTGGGCACATCAGGCTGACCTTGTGCTGGAAAACCCGCCCCCCCCCTCCTGCCCCTCCTCTGGGTAACCCACCACCAACACCACCTACCCAGTGATCAATGAAGTTGTTGGTGATCACCGCAGAGCCGAAGGAGCGAGCGGGGTTGATTCCACAGCCGGTGTAGTCAATCTGTGAGGGGCGGGGCAGAGGGGGAGGAGCCACAGAGCGAGGGGCACAGGAGAGAGCAAGAGGGCAGGGAGAGAAATAGAAAGAGGCAGAAAGGAGGTGTGGTAGAGGATGGGAAAGAAGACCAAAGCAAAAACTTGACCCTGACCCAGGGCCCATTCCCCCAGTCCCACAGAACTGACCTGCCACCTCACCGCCTTCGCCCTCTGGCAGGAGCCTCCTCTGGCGTCCCATCCCCTCTCTGCCCACCTGGAGATCGGCCCCACCCCTACTCCCACACCTGGGAGGGTTCCCCACTCACCGCCAGCAGGTGCCCTAGTGCCACCGAGAGGCCGATGGCCAGGGGCCCGGAGCCTCCAAGGTCGCGGCGACGGCGGTCAGTGGTGGCCAGCACACACAGCACCAGCTGCAGCGTGCCAATGATCTCGATGCCCAGGCCTTGGCCTGGGTTCACTCCACTCGCCAGCTGCCGAGACAGAGTCAGTCGAATGAGCAGGGTGGCTGGGCCCTTGTTGCAGCACCTAATCGCGATCCAGTCAGGACACAGAGCTCAGGACTGGTCCCCTAGCCCCACCTGTTGTTGAAGCTCCACCCCTAGTGCAGGAAGAGACCCTGCCCCATCTGAGAGCACCGGTGGCATGCAATGGGGGCTTTCCCCTCCAGGGCGGGGGTCCACAGGGGCAGCCGGCTGGTGGGTGGCAAGAGCTTCTCCTGGGTGGAAAGAGCTTCGAATGAGTGAAGGGCGCAGCAGGGACTGCTTCACAACACCAAACCTAGCACCTCCGTCCGACCCCCTCGTCACTTACTACTTATAAGCACCCCGAGCCGGAGAGGGGGTGTGCATCTAGCTGTGCCCCAGCTTTCTGTAGGGGGCTCCCTGGATGGCTCCCTGCTGGGTTTCCTTCTCCCACCCCCCTGGCCTCTGGGAGAAAGACCAGACTACTTTCTACTCTTATAAAAACATGAACAAATAATGTATAAAGTGTCAAGGGTTCATGAGTGGGGGGGGGATGAACTGATACCAGGGCTCAAGTAGGAAGGAAATGTCTTGAAAATTCTGATGGGAACAATGGATGGATGTACGGATTGTGATAACAACTGGAAGAGCCCCCAATAAAATGATTTTTTTAAAAATATGAAACAGTTGCAGTCTTGAAAACCCACAGGAGCAGTTCTACCCTGTCCTATAGGGTCACGAGGAGTCAACATCCACTCTGGCAGTGATGTGTCTCTCTGGTCCAGCATCTCTCTCTCTCTCTCTCTTTCTCTTTCTCCTCCCCTCACCCCCTTCTGTTCTTGGTCCAGTCCTCCCAGTTTCTCCTTCTCTCCCTCCTTTCTGTCCGAAGCCTCCCTCCTCTCTCTAGCCACATAGGCCCTACCGTCTGGCTACCACGTCCTGAGTCACTTTTAGAAACATGACTCATGGGAAAAGAAGGGAATGGTGAGATCACAGAGCCTCCTCCTGCAGCTGCACCAGGACCCCTCCCAGGGAACCTGCACCCACTTCCGTGTGGGGGTCCCAGGGCCAGGTATGCTAACCCTAGAGGGGAGTTGGGCCAGCCTGGCAAAGGCTCACTTGCAAAGGTGCCCGGATGTGGCCACCTAGGCTGCTCTCCCCCAGACAGGGTTGGCATAGACAGAGCCGCCTAGCTTTGACTGGATGGCTCACCTCCCACCTGAGGGCAGAAGGTTGCGCCAAGATCCAGGGCGTTTGGCAAGATCCTAGGGGGCTGCCTGCCACCACCCCTCCAAGGGTTTTCCGGTCCCTCCCTGGGGTAATCTCACAAACAATTCTCTTCCCGCCTTTATCAGCAGTCCTGGGTCGCTGGGAACATGACTCAAATCCCGACCCTGCCTCGAAGCCCCAGTTCTGGGCCTCGGCTGGCTGACCCAAGATCTGTGTCCCTGGCTCAGTCGGCTCACTGGGTCATCTTCCTCTGATCCCTAGGCCAGGGCCACAGTGGGAGGAACCTTGAGTTCAGGTCCTGACCTCCCCTTGCCAGTTCTGCTCTCACCAGCAGGTGTCCTCTCTCTGGTCCTCAGTTTTGCCATCTGTAAAACCGGTCTACTGTCCTCTGCTTACTCTCTAGAGAAGTTGGGCAGGCTCGCTGGTCACAGTGATGTCTCAGGACTCTGGGCAGGGCTGCGCTGCTCTGTTGCCTGTTCTTTCCCCTTCACACCCCCAGGATGTGTGTGTGTGTGGGGGCGGGGGGTAACAGGTTGAGGGCAGAAGGGCAGGATAAATCCTTCAATGGTGATGGGTAGTGCAGGGGTGGGGCACCGAAAGGGAGGGTGACTGAGGCTACTCGAGGCAGCTGTCTGCAGCTGGGATAGCTTCATAGAGGTGGAGCTAGTTGCTGGGGGAGAGGGGGAACAGGTCTGCTACTTGGTGTGTCTGAACCCCCAGGAAGCTCTTGGCTGCCCCGCCTGTCTCTCGGACCCCCAGGGTCCACCGAATGGCTGGCAGGTGGCTGTCCAGAACCAGTCCTTAACAGAGTAAGCACCTCCTCCACCCTGCCCACCCCGCCTCTGCCACCTCTGTGAGCTCATCTCTTCCTGGAAGGTTTTGGGTTTGAGACCCAAGACCTACCCAGAGGCACAGCTTTCCACACAGAGCGAGCAGAGCAGAGGGGTGTGATACCAGGCAGGGTTGACACTCTGATAGGTTGACACTCCCTATCCATTGCCACCGCCATCAGGAAGCCCTCCCTGATTGCTTCAGCAGCTGACTGACCTGCGTTCTTTTAGCACCAAAGACACATGCATTCTCTTATGGATGGAAAAAAATGGAAGGTCCAGAACGGGGAAGTGGGTGCAATCAAAAGTATGGGGGAATTTGGTGTCCAGGAAAGAGCAGGTAGATAGCTCCAAATAATACATTCAACATGAGCTCCGGCTTCAACTGAGCCAATCCCAGCGGCGATTCCTGGCTACAGGAGCAAGGAGCTCAGGGGCAGTGTGCAGAGCCCCAGGCAGCTTTTGCTTGCCAAAGAGCTTACACGCTTAAAGGCAAAAGAGATCTGTTGAATACAGTTGTAAACCAAAGCTAACACACACTCATAATCTGAAGCCTCAGAAAGACTAGGCGCTCCTCGTTTGCACACCTACCCCCACTTCTACCCATTCGAGGCCCGGTTTAGGCCCACCAGTTCTAAGGCCCCCTCCAGGGTCTTGTGGTTGTCCTTGTGAGGTAGCATTGGGTCTGCTTTCACCCACAATGACGCTCTGTGCACAACGGACGAACACTGCCCGGCCCTGCGCCACTCTCACAGTCGCTGCTGTGCCTGAGCCCACTGTTGCAGCCACTGGGTCAGTCCAAGCCATTGAGGGCCTTCCTCATTTTGGCTGCCCCTCCCCTTTACCAAACAGGGTGCCCTTCTCCAAGAACTGGTCTCTAGGGACAACATGCCCAAAGCACGTCAGATGAAGTCCCACCACCCTGGCCTCTAAGGAGCACTCGGGCTGTACATCTTCCAGGACAGATTTATTTGTCCTTTTGGCAGTCTGTGGCACGTTCATTATTCATAATCCAGCCCCAACATGGATCGGTAGTTGGATGTCATTTCTGCCTTCTAGGTCTTGTGCCCTGACTGAACTGCCTGTGCCTCTTGTGCCAAAGCAATCTACCTGCCTCTAGATGGGAGCCTCGCCCCACATCCTTGCTGAGGGCAGAGGGAACCTTCACCATCTCTGTGTCCAGAACTCTCTGGAGAGGCTCGGCTGCGTTGTGACAGAAGTAGCAGACTGACTCACTGCCATTGAGTTGAGACCCTGACCCGATAGGACAGAGTGAAGGGCCCTGTGACTTTCTGAGACTGTAACGCTTGACTGGAGTAGAAAGCCCTGTCTTTCTCCTGAGGAGCGGCTGGTAGTTTGGAACTGCTGGCCTTGAGGTTAGCAGCCTAACATGTATCCACAACACCACCAGGACTCCTGGGGAAGTGGCCGAGGAGACTGCTTTTCTAGAACCCCCACCATCTCTAGAGGCAGCCTCTGGAAGGAACCCACTCTGAGCCCAGTGCTGGACTACTCGGTACCCAGGGCCAGCTCAACCACCCTCTGCTCCACGGGCTTGGGGAAATGACTTGTGGGGAGGCCAAGACTGGGGGAGGAATGCAGCTTGTCCTGAACCCTCCTTTCCCAGGGTCTGTGCCTCCCTACACTCACAGGCCAGGGCCCCACCTACCTATTGGCCAGCCAAGGGACCTGGCTGTTCCCAGTTGGGATTTGCAGCTGGCTGACTCTGACTCTCTGACTGCCAGCATGTCCCAGCTCCAGCAGAGCCCAGGGTTGACCTCTCTCCCGGCAATGGGTCCCAAGGCCCTCTCACTGCCCATAAGTAGGTTGAACAGGGCAGCTTCCAAGGCTCAGGGCCCTTGACTTGACCTGGGCAGGCTGGTGCCCCAAAACCTTGAGAGCAGCAGGCTCCACAAGCAGGCCTGGCTGAGGCTCTGAGCATCTGCTCTCCAAGAACAGGGAAACTCAGCCTTTCCAGACGCAGCATTGGACTGCGGGGCAGCCTCAGAAGGCCACGTCATAGCTAATTAATTCCTGTGTGCACGTGGCTCTGAGTATCCATGGCTTTGTGCGTGCTCCTGACTCAGGGCTGTGTCCCCATGTGTGCACAGCCACTAAGGTCCAGGTATATATTCCTTGTCACTTTTCAGAATGCTTTAGGAAGCTTAATCATACAACAAAGAGATGAGAAATCTGTCAAAGAACTATAAAAAATTTCCGCCTATATGCACTGAACAACATAGCCTAAAATAAGTGATAAGAACATTGTCAGGGTTATAAAGAGAATTGGATCAATCTGCTCCCACAAGGCAGGATGTCAATGGCCACCACTGAGAAATGGGTACAATGGAGCAGAAAAAATATAGATAGATAGACCCCCTAATATAAACAAGGAGGATTTGAACCACATAATGAACAAAAAAGCTTGAGATAAGGAAACGATGTGGAGCCCCAGTTTAAAGAATATACATTCCATTTAGACACGCTAACCGTGCAGTACAGGAGAAAGATGAGGCTGTTTCCCATGAAGACTCCTTGTCTCAGAAACCCTCTGTGGGGTGGCAGGCCTCACGGGAGACAGAGACGACTCGGCGGCGGCGGGTTTGTCTTTGGGCTTGTTGGTGGGGTTTTGCTGGTTACCATGTATCGGCCCAAAACATCTCAGAGAAATGCTATGGCACAGGGCATCGCTCCTGTGTCTTCCCAAGCTGGCGTCTCTGAGAGACATCTCAGAGAGCTTCTGTGTAGTATGTTGGGGTCAGGGGGTGGCATGTTGGTGGTCCCTGGCTCATATGTTAGGGATCTCCGTGTGGTATGTTGGGGGTTTCTGTGTGCTATGTTAGGACTTTCTATGTGGTATATCAGGGGATTTCTGTAGTATGTTGTGGCCTTTGTGGTATGTTGGTGGTCTCTGTGCAGTATTCCAGGGGTCTCGGTGTGCTATGTTGGGGTCTCTGTGTGGCTTGAATTCCTGGTGGCTACAGCTGTGTGTTAGTGTCTGTGCACCTGTGCACCTGGTGGGATTTCTGAGTGCAACATTGTCCCTGTGTGTCACACCCACACACAGGTGCCTACATTGACTGGATTGGCGAGTGGGGGGTACCCTGAGAGAGAGCAGCGGGTCTCAAAGGGCCCTTTATTTGCTCCCAGAAACCATTTCATCTTCCCGACAAGAAGCAATACACAAAACAATGGCTTCCTCCTTCCCTCCCTCCGTCTCCTTAGTCCAGGGCGGCTGCTCGGCCCCCACCACGGAGAGGGGAAGGCTCTGTGCAGGAGGCCTGCCCACCCTCAGGGACCCTGGCTCTGAGCGGGGCCGCCGGGACTGGGGGATGTGCTCTGCCGAGCCCCTGGGTGTGTCCCACGTGTGCACGTCTGCAGTGTGTGCACTGTGTTCATGCACGGGCAGTGTGCGTGTGCATTCTGGAACCATAAAACATAAAAAGAGTAGGGAGCCTGGGTCTCCAGGCTCTGGGAGCCTCCGTTTCCTCCCCAGTAAAATGGAGCGGGCCCAAATTCTAGCCCAGGCAATCCCCAGGCCTCCTGCCTCCCTGGCATCAGGCTGCTCCAGCTCCCCGGGCAGTGTGGCACGCGCCTCACCCTCAAGGACCATGGCTGGGAAACCCTGGCAGCCCCCAGCCCCCAGCGACAGCATTTACCTGCACAGAAGCTGCAGGGGTGGGGACTCAGAGTCCAGACTTTTTGGGAGAAGTCAGGCTGGAATGCTTCCAAGGTGTGTGTGAGGGGGTAGGGCCAGGGGGCTTGCCCCTCAGAGAAGCTGGGGCCAAGGGTCTCCTCTGCCAGGAAGGATTTCGGCAGTCAATCCAAGGATGTCTGTAGAAGCACCTGGGGTGGGGGTGGGGGGGGGACTTGCTAGAGGACCGGGAAGGCTGCCTGGGCTGAAATGTAAGAACAACTGTGGGGCTGGCTCAGGCCTGGGCTGTTTCCCTCTCTCGTGCATAGGGTTGCTCTCGGGCTCCCAACAACGAAGCCTGGGTCCTGCCCGTCCAGCTGCAGAGGACAGGCGATGGGCATGACGAGGCGTGACATGGAGGTGCAGGGGGACAGAGGCACCTGCCGGGCTGCGTGCTTTCAGACGACAGCGTCCTGGCTGGGTCAGTTGGAGGGGGGCAGCCCTGGGGCTGACTAGGCTGCTCTCGTGGCTCAAAGGTGGAAAGCGGCCTCAGAATGTTCCCACACCAGAATGTTCCCCACCGCAAACTCCCACCTCCCTCTGTGCCCTCTGCTTCTGGCTGGAAACAGTAATTATAGGTCCCAGATATGGCACCGCCACCTCCCCCAGCCCACAGCCCCTCCCCGGGCAGGCTAGGTCGGACTTCCCCTTCCTCAGCCCACCCCCAAGCTCTGGCCCGATGGAGGGGGCTTCTCACTCTGCAGGGAAGAGGTGGCCTGGGCAGGAGGTGTGCTGCAGGCAGCCAGGCCTGAAACCTGCAGAGCCAGGAGGACAAAGGCCCCCTCCTGCCCCTGCCCTAGGCCCACCCAAATGCCGGCAACCCCCAGGCTACCCACATCACAGCTCTGGGCCAGCCAGCGATCCAGCCCTCATCATGACTCAGAGACAGGGGCGGAATCTCCAGTCCTTACCCCTCTATAGACCACAACCTCCGGACCGGCCACACCCAGCAGCTTCCAGCACGGAAGCCCCTTCCTGCTCCTCGCTGGAGGGCTTGCTGGCATCTCCTCCCTGAAGCCTTCCTGGTCCCCCTGAAGGAATCTTGGCAGCTAGCACCTCGCCCACCTGCCTAGACCCAGCTTATCACACCTGCCTTCTGCCTCCTATCTCAGGCAGCTGTGCCCAGGGCTTATCTTTCCCTGAGCTGTGAGCTGGCCCCAGGCAGAAGAGCTGACCTGACTCATCCCAGAGTGAGCACCCGGTCACCCTGCAGAACCCAGCTGCACTGGCTCCGTAGGGAGTGCGTGAGCTGGCCAGCCTCAGTCCCTTCCCAAAGGCCAGCCACGCTTCCTGGGGCATCTCTATCTCGCAGCGGAGAACGAGGGCCACACAGGATATTAAGGCTTGAGCCAGGGCAGGGACAGGTCAGGGCACCAATCCCTGTCTCTTGGGCTCTCTCTGGGCCAAGCATGGAAGATGACTCTGAGAACCAGCCAGGACCCTGTAGGCTGGACAAGGGCCATGGTCTCTTCAGGGCGTATCCCAAGTCCTGACTCAATGAGGAGAAAGCTGCCCCCCCCATGTCCTCGGTGGACACCCCTTGACTCACCCCAACTACTTCCTGCCACTTCTTTCCCTATTTTCCTTGGAAATCTCCATGCCATGACCCACTCTGGCCAAGTTGGGGCCAGGAGAGAGCCCAGGGCTAAAGGCTCTGTAGAACCTCCCAAGGGGGTGGCTGGAAAGGTGTGGCCCCTTCTGGGCATCATGCCGCTCTCTGATCCTCTTGAGGCACCCGGGCCAGCCCAGGCCCCTTCCCATGGTGGGTCCAGTGTCCTGTGAGAGCCATGGAGGGGAGGAGCCATTTCTGCTCCTAGACCTTGGATCTGTGCTTCTGGAATAGAGCTCCTGATCCAAAGCAGCCTGGCCCCTAACACCCTCATAGGCTCTCCAACCAGCTTTCCTGGAAAAGACCCCCACCTCTGTAAACAAGCGGGTCTGCTGGGAGTTCCCGCAGGACCAGACAAGTCATGAGACATACGGTCAACCCCCTGGATGGCCACCTTGGGCCCTTGGGGTCTTTAGCTTCAGGGCAGCTCAACAAGTTAATAGCAGACAGGACTTGGACCCAGACGCCTGCTTCTTTGCACGCCCCCTCTTCTTCCCCCCGCCTCCCCCCTCCCCTCCCCCCCATGGACAAAAACTCCCCAGCATGGGTGTGGGCTGACTCTGGAGAAGAGAGGCCAGAAAGGGCATGGGGCACCAGAGTAGGGCGGAGCCAGATGGCACAGAAAGTGCCCCGCCCTGGCCCGCCGTATCTGCCCGGGATGGCCACAGGAGAGAATGAGGAGCCTCTGCCAGGAGCTGGCCCTGGGGGGTGGGGGAGGGAGACAGCCCAGGGCAACTCAAGCTCAACCAACACCTCCCCCCACTCGGACCTTTCCCCCACCCCCATCTCACCCTGCCCTTTGCGATCACCGAGCCTGTAGCCCCACTGGAGAGACTGCGGGCCCCAGAGTAGCCTTCCCCAGCTCTGGCTCTTCCACCCACCACAGCCACGTCTTCTCTGGCTGAAGTCTAAATTCCAGCCACAGAGCTAATCTTCAACCTTGGGCTGAGCAGAGGTTAGCTTAACAAGGGGTCTGGGCCAGGTGTCATAGTGGCACAAAAGTGCTAATCCTCTCTTCCCGGGCCATGCCAGCTGCCCTCTGCACCAGACACTCACCCAGCTTCCCCGCAGCAGTGTCACCGGGGCCTGAACTTTGGCTGGCAGGCAAGCAAAGGGCTACTATAAACACCCTCTGCTGGCTCCTGGGAGGGCTGTCCCCGCACCCACCTGCCCTGCTTGGTCCCCACCAGCCTCAGTCCTCTGTTGAATTCCAGCACTGACTTCGCTGCCCCTTTGCCAGGATTACTTGTCCCCTCTGGCCCCTTAAGGAGGTCCACCCACTCTCCCCTCCACGCCCCACTCCAGCCCTCTCCAGCCAAAGTGCCCCTGCTGTGGCCCGAGCTGGGACTGAGTTTGCACTTGGCTGAGGGGCTGGAAAAGCCCAGGTCTGTAGCAGCAGGCGGTTGCCACCAACAGCCACTTAGCTGTGCTAAGCGGCCCGGGAAGAATTCTCTTCCACCGCTGCCACCCAGTCGCCTACATCTGCTTATCATTACTGACCCTAAGCCAGACTGCATGAGAGCCAGGGGCAGGGAGATGGGGGG